TACTGCGAGGTCCAACCAAAAGCTGCATGAAGATGGAACAAAAAAAAAGACACAAAAAAAGACCCACGTGGGTCGTCGACCCACGTGCAGGAGAAGAATCCTACTACAAACGAACCTTCCATCGCCCTCCCTCTCTCTCTCTCTCTCTCTCTCTCTCTCTCTCTCTCTCTCCCTCCCTCTGATTCCCTCTCCTCCCCCCTTCATCATCCAAGACGAGCTCCAATCCTACCGTGGAAGTATGTGATCATCAAACGTCACGTACGAGCAGCCTTCGCGCGGGTTCACTTTCATAACGGAGCCCCCATTCCCCTCATCCGTTATGAGCTTCATCATGCCCTCCACGGCTTTCTCCACTGGAAGGTATCCTCCGAAGTCGGCTATTGCCTTGACCAAGGCGGGGCCTATCGAGCGGGCCAGAGGAGTGTCCATCGCCGACGGGCAAAATGCACACACCCTAATTCCCAGCTCGCTCTCCAGGTGTGCCAGACATCTCGACAGCATGACAACGCCAGCCTTGGTTGCTGAGTACACAGGGAGCGTGGGGTGTGCGACGAGCCCTGCGATCGAGGCCACGTTGATGATCACCCTCTTGGCCCTGCTCTTCTTCTCTTCTTCGCCTATTTTCGCACCCTCCTCCTTCTCCTCCTTCTCCTCCTCCTCCTCCTCCTTGCTTCTCGCCGGCGTAGCAGCCATGCACTCCACTGCCAACCGTACGCCATCCACCACAGCTTTCAGATTGACATCGATCATTCTGCTCCACGGGCGAGCATCAACCTCCGCTCGCACGAGTGGTGGTCCCCCCACCTCTTTAAGCTCCGTAAGATCCGGTGATGCTGGCGACGCCTCTTCACTCTCGGGCTGTGCAAAATTGACTTCGTTGGCAATTCCCGCGTTGTTGACGACAACATCGAGGCGCTTAAACGTGTTCACGTGGGCAGCGAAGGCCTGCGCAAGCTGCCCAGGGCGTGCCACGTCACACTTTACAAAGATTGCACGTGGTGTTTTGCCGCCTCCTGCCTTGCCAGCCTCCGCCGCGTGAGCGTCGTCGGCCTGGGCCTGGGCCTGGGCGTCCTTCTCCCTCTTCTGAGTGGTCTCCTCGATCAGCCGAACGGTTTCTGTGCCTCCAGCGTCTGAGATGTCCACCACGGTCACCCTCGCTCCCATCGAGGCCAAGCGCATCGCAATTGCCCGACCGAGTGCGCCCCCCGCCCCCGTAACGAGAGCAGCGGTCGCACCTGTGACCTCCATTTTTATTTATTTATTTATTTTTGGTTATTTAAAACTTGCAGGTATGGCCAGCCTTGCCCGCACCTCTGCTGCTGGCTCGTTTTCCTGTCACAACCTGACAAAGGCAAGGCAAGGAAGATAACAAATAAGAAGCGCAGAAAATTTCCAAAATCCCCCCAGAATGTTGAGGGGTATCTTGGTAAAATACCCCTAGTAGAAACAAGATCATTTAACATGGAAAAGGCAAAAGGATGTCCTTCGGGACTTCGGGGGAATCCGTCAAAAGGACCAGAATGATGCAGAGAAGAATAGCATGGACCCTGCCCACACAAAAAAAAGAAAATAAAAAAAAGGGAAAGAAAAAAAGAGAAAGAAGAAAAACAATACCTTTCTCGGCCTTTTGGGTAAGATCAAGTGTAGTATCTGTTCTGATCAGTTTAATATCTGATCCGTGGTCCATCGGACCACAAAAAAAAAANCGGACCACAAAAAAAAAAAAAAAAAAAAAAAAAAAAAAAAAAAAAAAAGAAGAAAAACGAAAAAAGAAAATAGAATAGAAAGAAAGATTGAAAGAAAAGCAAAAGAAAACGAAAATAGAAAGAAAGCCAAAAGAAAAGCGAAAGAAAAAAGAAGAGAGGCAAGGATTTTATTTTGACCCGGGGCAACGTCCCACTCGCGCAAATTCAGGAGATTTGGGCCGTTGATGATCTTTGCTATCTACGCTCAGTATCTCTTAATAATTCGTGCAAGTGGGACCTAGCCCCCGGGAGCATGGTTCCACTAGCAACCCGGATTGGAGTAAGATCCTGAATCTGGGCGTGTTTTAGGAAGAGATCCATAAACGGAGTTCAATCTCCAGTTTTTGCACTTGTCCACAAACGCGTCCAGACTAGGGCGTTCAGTCCAATCCTCTTTGCTAGTGGGACCACACCCCGCGTGTCAACCATCTTGACCTTCCACCTGTTAATCATAATAATGGATCACAGTCCGAAGACGCCTTATTTATTTACGAATAATAATAATAATAATAATAATAATAATAATAATAACTAGGCTACCAGCCGGGCCACCCGGGTCCCCGGTGGCCAGCCCGTGCAAGGACCAGGGAAGGCCCCAGCCAAAAAAAAAAAAAAAAAAAACCCAAAAAACTGCAAAAAAAACTATGTTATGCAGAAAACTAAACTGAACAACTTTTGCCTCAGGGTCACATCGAAATTCTTTACCAAATTTAGAATAAAAATAAAATTTAAAAATATTTATTTTATTTTTATTATTTTAATTTATTTTGGCCCGGCCGGGCAAGTGACCCCGGGCCACTCTGGTAGCCTAGAATAATAATTAATAATATGTAAGTAAAAATCTTGAAAAGGCCAAAAAAAGTTAAAAAAATAATAATATAATAAAATAATAAAAATAAAGAATAAAAAATTAAAAAAAATAATAAAATAATATAATGATAATAATAAACAATAAAAAAGTAAACAAATGATAAAATAATAAAATAATAAAAATAAATAATGAAATAATAAATAAAAACCTTGAAAAGGCCAATGGCATGAGCTCGAGGGAAAGAACAGAAAGGGTCACAGCAGAGTCATCACCTCAAAGCAATATCAGCGAAGCTTGTATCAAAACTTATCAAACCATAGAACAACAAAACTTGCCCAAATGCACTAACGGTACAACGTGAGAATAAGTTGGATCACATCGAAACAAAAATGTTCTACAATAATCATATATATATATATCTCCTGATGAAACTCCGACGAAACAGTTTGTCACAGCCCCTCGTTTGTTGTCCTCTTCTCTCTCTCTGCCTACGGTTTACCGGGCAGTTCTATTTGTGACGATATATATATAAATATATATATATATTGTCACACTGTGAATCCGAGCGCAAAGGCGGAAAAAGACAAAACAAGAAAAGGAAAAGAAGTAAGGAGGAAGGAAAGCCCCACCTGTTCATCACCTCTTACGTACCAGGCGAGACACATGGATGACAGGTTGAGCGCTGGCTGCCCCCATCCATCCCCGTGTGTCACAAGGACCCCCCACTTGCACGCACGCAGCCAAAAACAACAAACAACAAAAGGCAAAAAAGAGGTAAAGAAAGAAAAGGAGCAGGAAACCAAACCTGACAGGGAAAGGGGAAAGGAAGCCTATCAGTCAGTCAAGTCAAAGAAAGCAAATGACAATGACACATCCCACAGATATATATTCAATTGCCACAAAACAAACAACACATCCCACAGATCAACATATTTTTTCCTTTTTCTTGTTTTCTTTTTTTTTTTTCTTTTTTTTCTTCTTTCTTTAACTCCGTATCAGTCGGCAGTGTCGAAGGCGATATCTGTCCCCACCTCGGCAGATAGGACAGCCATTTGACGATATATATATATATATATATATATTTGTAACGATATATATCGTCACAAATTTATCAGAGCGCAAATGCGAAAAAAAGAAGAAATAAATTCATTTTTTATCTTCTTCCTTACAAGACTCCCCCTGTTCAGAACCTCTTTTGCGTACAAGGCCGCCCACATGGATGCGGTTGAGCGGCGGCTGCCCCCACCCCCGTGTGTCATATCGACCCACTTGCACACAGCCAAAAGCCAAAGAGGCAAAGAAAGAGGAAGCGACCAGCCAAATATAACAGAACAGGGGAAAACAAACATAGCAGATCCTAGATGACAAGTCCGACCGACATGCAAGCACCGCCCCCTCCTCCTTCACAGGTCAAACGAGGGGACAATGACCAACCAGGATATCATTGAACACCCTTGCCTACAAAAAAAAAAAACAATCCCAGATAACAAACCCTTGAAGTTCGTGCTCGCCAGCATAGACACCCTATTTTCATGGTTTCGACGCATGCCTCGCTAGTCTAAACTGAAATACTGGGACACCACCAAGGGCAAAAAAGATATAAAGACAATCCCAGATGACGATTCCCACATAAAAGCACCGCCTCCCGTCGATAGGCGAAACAACCGGAACCAGCCAACTAGGATGCCAAATGGGCAAAAAAAAAACGGATGACAAGTCCCACATGAAAACACGGCCACGTGGAAACATATATATATATATATATCGTCACAAACAGAACTGCCCGGTAAACCGTAGAGAGAGAGAGAGAAGAGGACAACAAACGAGGGGCTGTGATATATATATATAGGTCGATATGACACACGGGGGTGGGGGCAGCCGCCGCTCAACCTACATCCACGTGGGCGGGGACTTGTACGCAAGAGGTTCTGAACAGGGGGAGTCTTGTAAGGAAGAAGTTAAAAAATGAATTGATATTTTTTTTGTTTCCTTTTGTTTGTTTTTTTTCGCTTTTGCGCTCTGATATCTATGTGACGATATATATACTGATATCATGTGACAATCTGTATATATATATATGTTTGACTATTTATAGTCAAACAGAGCTGCGGCTCAGCTGCCCGGTACACCGTACGCAGAGAGGGAGAAGAGGACAACAAACGAGGCGCTGTGACAAACTGTTTCGTCGGAGTTATATATAAATCTACATGCGCCGCTGAAACTCCGACGAGACTGTTCGTCCCAGACCCTCCAGGCTCCAGTCGCCTTGCTACACTTCTCCTCCGTGGTGGCTGTCGACTCCCTCAGCCGCCACCTCTCAGTTATGGCTCTCAATGGCTCTCAACAACCACCTCGCCTATGCTATGGAAGACTTCTCTACTCAACAAGGCAATCTTCTCCATAGGATCTCCAACCCCTGCTCGCTCTGGTCTCTTGTTCGCCGGGCTTCCCGCAAGGCCAAATGAGAGAAAGAGGTTTTGACACGAGAGAGAGAGAGAGAGAGAGAGAGAGAGAGAGAGAGAGAGAGAGAGAGAGAGAGAGAGAGAGAGGGTTGCCATAGCCACGTGTCCTCAGGACGTCAATCGCGAGCGGATGGAAGTTTAACCTGGCAAGCTGCATGTTGCCACGTGGCCCACGTCTTCTCAGGAAGACAATCACGAGCGTCTCTTTCTCGCACAATGAATGACCTCTTTTTAGCTGCCTCCTAGACATTGTCAGAGAGAGACGGAGAACTTCAAGAAGAGAAGAAAAAGAGAAGAAGAGACGAACAGAGAAACAAAGCGGCTATGGCAGAAGAAGACGAGCGACAAATCTGCCAAGTTGCGAAGTAACTGTTGCGATGACACAAATCGTAACATTCCCCGAAAGCTTATCGCTATCAAATATCCTGCTTGTTTGTTCATAATAATTTCATTTTATTCATTTCAAAATATACATACAACATTTATATTCATTTAAAAATAGACGGGTGGCGACCGACGGGCCATGCTGAAGATCTGGAGACGACTGAGTCTCTCTCTCTCTCTCTCTCTCTCTCTCTCTCTCTCTCTCTCTCTCTCTCTCTCTCTCTCTCACACACACACACACACACACACACACACACACAGCGAAGAAAAGGAGGATAGACTCCGATAGTGTCCTTCAGCCATCCCTCAGCCAATCAGACATTTCTTTCCGCCATACCTCTCCTGTTTGCTCTCTCTCTCTCTCTCTCTCTCTCTCTCTCTCTCTCACACACACACACACACACACACACACACACACACACACACAGAGCGAAGAAAAGGAGGATAGACTCCGATAGTGTCCTTCAGCCATCCCTCAGCCAATCAGACATTTCTTTCCGCCATACCTCTTCTGTTTGCTCTCTCTCTCTCTCTCTCTCTCTCTCCTCCGCCCCACGTAAGAAGGCCGGCGTATAACGGGGCATTTTCATTTCCTGCGTACCTTTTTTTGTGTTTGCTCGCGGTTTTAAAACCGATCTGTAACTGATGCTGCGCCCCTCTCTCTTCAGCGTGCGGTTCTTCTTCAAGATCTCTTGTTCGCCTCCTAGCAATCGATGGACGTAGAAGTACTAAGTAGCACTTCGTTCCTTGTCGCACCACACCATGGGGGTGAGTTGCAGTACGTGCAGTGCTTCC